ACACACACACACACACGCGCACACTCACACACACACACACACACACACGTTCGTATTCTGCATAATTGACTGTCAGAATGAGAAATTAAAGACAAAATTCTGCACTGTTTTCTCATATATGTATATTTATTTCATAGTTGCATGACAGTCAAAACACTCAGACACTGATTATATTTATTTACTTATTTAAAAGTAAAGAGAAGTACATCATGTCAAGTGTACTTAGGTACAAAAGTAAAACCTATTCAACAAATATTTGGCAACAGTGAAAAAATACTTTTTAAAAATAAAATCATAAAAGTCCAATATATTTTTGGCCTCTTGGTTGAGTCAGGTCTGCCTTGTCATCTTTTCATTGGATTGCACAAGTCAAGATAGCTCAGGTTAAATTAAAAAGTTAGTTGATACCTTTTCATTTACCTGGAATTACCTTGAATTACCTGGAATTACCTGTGTTTGACTCTGAATCTTACTTGCCTGTGAAACCTCCAGATATTCCTGTCTTCTTCTTCTTCTCCTTCCTGTTAGCTTCTTTAAACTCAAAACTACCTGATTAGCTTATTTGAAACTCTAGAAAACTTTGATAGAGTGCAACTTATTTGAGTTTTCAAATTTTCTGTTTTCACTAAAGAACACAGAAGATAAAAATATAAATACATCCTATATTAAGCAAACAGTTGAGATCTTTTTACTTTATGTAGCAAAACTTTTGATTAATAAACTTGAAATTATTGCCATTTCAAATTTTATAGCACATTTTGCCTTAAAAATTAACTAACCTTAAAAATATTTATTATTTAATCTTTCTGTAAATTGTCACATAAAACATCAATAGATGGCAGTGGTTTCTGAGTGTCAGGATATTAAAATAAAGTACCCCGTCTATCCCTTCACAGAAATAACTCAAGAAAATAATTTCACATTTTTTAACACATGCTTCTTTATTAGGCAAATTAATTACATCACTACAGAAGTAACACTACAAAGCAGAATTTCATTTTTTCCTGTAACATTTCCCTCAGTACTTAAGTAATTTATTAATTACTTAAATACCAAAGTAATTAATACCAAAGCAAATACAATAAAGCAGAAACATAAATGTGGTGATGCTTGCTGTTTATGTCTAAATGGTTATCAGTGATCCACCTTGTGGCAAAAAACCTTTTCCAAAACCAAACCATAATTTCCAGCTGTTTATTAAAGAGGAAGGCATTATTTTTTTATACTAGCTCAGTTTGTTTTTTGATGAAGCTTCTGATCAGCTGCAGCTTCTGAGGTCGGCGTCTTCAAACCATGAACTTCTGATTGTCTAAAAAACAAACATGAAAAATGAGAAGGACTTTCTGATCTACATGTAGACATGTTTATTTGTTTTTCCTTACAGCATTTGTAAAGCTTGTTGACACGGGCGATGTCATTGACGCTCATTTGTTTGGCGTGTCCAAACTTCAGGTTTGGGTTGCATTTGGCAACGATGGTTGGTTTCCCATTTTTGGAGAACGCTTTGCTTTAAAAGAACAAATACAGTGAAGATGATTAAAGCAGAGCAAACTTTATACTTAATTACTGCGTGCACGCTCATAAAGACTCACTTGTCATATTCCATGACAGATGTGAAGTCATATGGAGTCCCCAGGTTGTTAGTTTGCTTTTTGTCAAAGTTGTGCTCCTTTCCTGTTCATGGCATCAGAACACAGAAAATATTGAGAACTCGTAACAGTCGTAATTATGTGATTGGTGATGTCACAGGTATTTTTAAGCAACAAATTTGCTGAAACTAAGCAGCTTTATTTTTAAAATCGTATTTTTTTTATCTATATAAGTGAAATACAAAATAATGAAATTGATTCTTTTGACTTCAAACATACCTTTCTTAATGTTTTGGTAGCGAATCCAAACGTATTTGTCTCTGTCGGAGCGGACCTGCTCATGGTTGAAGCCCAGAGCGTGAAGAACCTCGTGCTGCACTGTGGAGCCGTACAAACACCCGTTTTTCTGCAGAGAGATTTTCTGTCCTCCGTCCTGACGTCCAATATAGGACCAACACCTGGGAGGTAAACACAGAGTCACTGGTGGGAAATAAACATGTTTTCAGTTTAAATGTTGTTCGTCTAAAAACCCAGGTCTTTGCTGGATTAAAGTGAACTCCAAGCAGACCGAAAACCGCTCCAAAAGCAGGAAGCGGGCAACAGCGCAGGGCACTCTGGGTAAATACAACCAAAACAAACGCACTAGCCTAGCGCTAGTGGGAGAATTGGCTCATTTTCTTTTGTCAAGAAGTCCTGTAGGATTTGTCAGAAATCCTACATTGCTAAAATATGATGCTTTTGTTTACATTTTGTAAAGTAGGAAGTTTTGCTGATGTTTTCTTTGGGGTTTTTTGTGTCATTTCCTTCAGAATTTTTTGGTGCATCGCCCCCACAGGCCAGGAGGTGAAAATGTTTTTCAGTTGGTTTGGTTGGTGTGACAGTAGTGTGGAAATGAACCCCAGCAGTTGAAAATGTAAAAATGTAACAAATGTTTCAATTTTGGTTCCCAATCAATCTGAGTCCTCTGAGACGTTATTCAGTAATCACCACCACAGCTTAAATAAATATAAACTTAATCCGTTCTTTGCCAGATCCACTGGTTTTGATTGCAGGATTTTTTTTTTTTTTTTTTTTGCAACGATTTTTGCTTTTTTTATGTTTGTGTGTTTTGAAGTTCACATCATTTATGTGTTTGGCTGTTTGCTGCATGTTTGCACCTTCTTGTTTGTCCCTGTGTGAATGTTTATTCACACAGGGACCTTATTGGTCCATAAGGTAGACCTTATTGGTCTATAAGGTAGACCTTATTGGTCCATAAGGTAGACCTTATTGGTCTATAAAGTAGACCAATAAGGTCTACCTTATGGAGACTTTATTGGCCTCCATAAGGTAATTGGTTGGGGATAATAAAATGAACTAAAATGTGCTAAAATATATTCCTTCCAAAACAGGTTTTGCATCTTACTTTGGAGCTGTTTGTGTGTGTGTGTGTGTGTGTGTGTGTGTGTGTGTGTGTGTGTGTGTGTGTGTGTGTGTGTGTGTGCGTGTTCATACCCCTTGCCTGAAAAGAAATGGATGTAGTCACGATGTCGAAAGGTTCGTGGGACAAAACGAATGCAAGTGAGCCCATGGAATCTCTTTAGGCCATCAATGATGAACTTGCGCTGTGTCTGAGCTACAAATTAATTAATTTAATAAATTAAATTACGTTAAATTAATTGAAAATTTTACATAAATAATATTAAATAAATATTAATGTTGTTAATCATCCAGTCGGTTCTGCTCACAGAAGTCAGAGGAGATCTCGTAGGGCACGTTAACAAAGCATCCGGATTTGGGCCACTTGCAGCCTCTGGCGGTGCATGGGTCCGCATTCCTGGTCCGAGTGTCGGGGATGGCGATGTCATCAAGCAGCTCAGGGGTTTCAACTGCAAATCAAACACAAACCCCCAAAAATCAACATCAGTATTAAAATAATGACAAACCAATTAAATTAATTTGGTTTCAGGGAAGATTCAAATTAATTCCGATGGGAAGGAGGGTTATGGGATACGATCTAAACTTTGGCATCAGTGCTAAAAGTATACTTAACTTTTAGCACTGTTTTTGTGTTATTCTCCTACTGTCTTCTCTAAAGTTTAGATCGTATCCCATAACCCTCCTTCCTGTCAGAATTAATTTGAATCTTCCCTGAAACCAAACTATTCAACTCATTAAACGTGAAACCATCTTCATCTGTTTTCTACATTTTACGTAACACAAAAGCTGTTTAGTTCTTTCTGCTGCAAACCAAACATCCAATGCAAACAAGGCAACCTGAATCTTGATCAATTTTGCCACAATGACTTCATCAGAATGTTTCTTTAAATTATGAATATTCAGTTATTACATTGCAATAAAAACCTGTACATTTATCATTTAGCAAAGGTAAAACATTCTCTTTCTTAATCATGTATATTAAGACATGATGCCAGTGAAAACAAAAAGTATTACGGTACATAATTTTATGTTCGATAAACTCACCATCATCCTCATCATCAACTGGTGTGCTCTGCAAAATAAATAAATAAAAATGACAATCATGTGCCTTCTAAAAATATTTTTCAAGGCAAAAGATTATTTTTCTATTAAACAAAATATAAGTTATTACTGCTGTTTTCATTTTGCCTAAATTTAAAATAATTATTTATATTGATTAATTTCCAAGTGCAGATGCTAGTTTATTTTAGCTGAGTTTTGTAATCATTTTCAATGATTATAATACTTTCACTGAGCATAAACTTGAGTTTTACCTCATTATTTCAAACTTACCAGCAGGACATTTGTCACTGAGAACAAAAGGAGGAAGAGGACGGCTGGAATCATGATGAAGGTGACCTAAA